CCAACCCAGAACCACCTCTTATATCCCTCTCAAAGAAGTGGAATTTTCCAATTGTGACATCAGCTCACATGTGGCCAGTGCATGAACCAAGACCACGATGGCTTGTGATACCAACTCCGTGCCAACAATGGCTCTGTTGTTTCTTTTCCAAAAGTCAAGTTCCCAACAGTGAAACTATACAATATTTTCCCATGCTACATCAACGAGCACAACCATGGACGAACTAGGGCAGGGTCTCAGACACGACTCAGGTCCCTGACACAGGCAGAAATCAGTCAATCAATCTGAAGTTTTAACATTTTTTTTCCTCAATTATAGTATTATTCTTAACTTTTTTCTTTAAATCTTGACTATGGCATATGCGTGAGCGCATCCAATTGTACGCATGTACCTAGGACTAGGTGCTTGTTGGTTTAAAGCACAAAACACTGTATAAATAACTTCCTTTTTTAAAGTTACCAAGAACAAAGTTATAGGCACCTAAATTACCAAATAGATTCAATGGTTCTGGTAGAAATATCTCTAATTAAACTTTCAAAGACGGCCAAATAAAGTGAAAAAAAGAACTTTAATTTCAGTGCGCTGGGTGCACTGGCCTCGTGACCAAGTTTGAGCACCCTGGGAATGGGATGGACGAGTCCTTTTAAGGTTTCTTGATTTACATAACCACTCCCTCACTCCTCCCATGGTGAGCCCTGCTCCTTTTCTTCCTTAAAAGGTGATATAGGCCTCTTCTTGAATTCGATTGGGTCTCTCAAGGCCGGCTTGCACCTTCCTTCGTGAGTCCATTGGTTGTCTTTCCCGACCTATCATATTTTTTCCTTGTCCTGGCCACGTGGTCCCTTGGCAGTGAGCCCAGACTGGTCTCCCTGCCTTACATACTTTCCGGCCCACCTTCACACTGTAACTGTAGGTAACTGTAAGCAGCAACAAGTAAACAGCAGTAAGTAACTGTAGGCAGACTTGCAAGCAGCAACAAACAACTGCAAGCAGACCTGCAAGCAGCAATAAGTAACTGCAGGCAGCTCGCCAGTCCCTGACTACAAAATGACTCCCCAACTCCCCAAACAACATGACTTCCAGGCATCTCGACAGGAGGCAACTATGGAAACTCCTGCTTGTAATAAAACCACCTTATTTATTTCCTACAGTTCCAATGCTGCATGTCCATTCTTCAGATGATTCATGCATCCAAGTTCCCACCTTTTTTTTTTTCTCTTCTTTTTCTTTCCCCTTCCTTTCTTTCTCTCCTTCCTCCTCTTATTTCAGTTTCATGATTGAAATTCAGGCCCGACACGTTGGCAACCGTGGAGCCTGGAGGTTCGGGGAGGGGAAGCAGGGGGGCCACTATGGCAGTGCGCAGAGAGGGGCAGGGGGGGAAAAGCAGTTGGGCAGTGATTTTTTCTGGCTGCCACTGCCATCATAGGGTACTTGCACGACAGCACTGGGCAGCGTGCAGGGAGAGGTGGTGTGGGGGGTAGTGTCAGGTGGCACTGATTCCTTCGGCTACCCCTTGCCACTGCTCAGGCCCCACTGCCCCTTGTGGCATCCCACGCAGTAGCCTGGCCCTGGCGCAGTGGGCTGCAGCCAAAAGCAGTTACATTTTGTGAAAACCACCATGATTAAGGATGGGGCAGGGGAATCCCCCACCAGAGGTAAATTACCATGATTAAAGGCAGGAGAGAGACCCCTCCGCTGCCGGAGGGAGATTATCATGAGTAAAGGTAGAAGACCGAGCCCTCACCAGAGGTCCTAAAGCCCCCGTCAGCAGGGGATATAAATAGTTCGATCAGCAGAGCAGATAGAAATGGCAGGTAATATATCTTCCTTCTCCCTGAAGAGGTCATAGAACAAGTCTAAAAGAGTGCATTTTCAAGGTGTCCAAATTTAAATATAATATTGCCATCATTGTCCCTTTGTCCCTATATCAGGATTTCAACAGTTGCAAAGCATGCACAAAAGTAAATGTTGCTCATCTGTAACCTTATGTCATGCTACATTCAGTATCCGTTGCAAAAATCTGATGAGCGCTGAGTGGATGGGGAGGGTGAACCCCGGAACAAGAGGCTTTTCCTTTTACCCCTTGCTCCGAGGGAGAACGTGCTCCCTCCCCCCTTCACCCTGCGGCGCCTCATGGCCCTCCAGAGGGACCATGGGGCCGTCAGCCAGGCAGGAGACATGCAGGCAGAGAGAGTTTATTCAAGTTTTCCCGCAGCTTATAAGGTTTCTGGGAGGAAGGGAGGTGTTACAAACCAACCAATTACAAGAAAGGGTTAAGAGCCAATAGGTGAGTTTCCAGGTATCTCTTAGACATTCCAAAGGGTTTTGGGAACAAGAAGGGTTACACAAAGGCTTACAATCACCATCTTGGAAACGTGGACACTTTAACAACATTACAAACTTCTGCATTCTTTTATATCCTAAAAGCATACTGCAACAAAAATCTTCAAATAAAGTCTGTGTTCTTGGGAAATTCCCTGCCCCATTATTATGAGATGACTCCGCAGATTCCTCTCCCACAGGCTCCACTAATGGGATGAAATGCTGGCACTTACCACCTCCATCAAGTTGTGGGTGCTGAAAAAGGGTCCCATAATGCAGGTCGCACGATGGAGTCACCAGAAATGACAAATATGGGCATTGAGAAGAAATGGAGTTGCACACCACACAGTTCAATTTCAGGATTTGTCCGCCAATCCTTTTCAGCATTCCCCTTTTATTAGGGCTCCTTTGTAAACAGCACCTGATGTTTTCATTCAGTTAACCAGAATTCCCAGGATCTTGCTAAACTGGTGTTTTGATTCCACACATTCACACTTGTATCATGTTTGACTGTTTTCAGCCACAGGAAAAACATGCACAGCATGCAGACCATTAAGCTGTGTTCCGCTTTGAGAACACAGCACTCTCTATCAAAAACACCAGTCAAGGCCAAAACACTCCTTTTTGATCCTAATTAACTGAATGCAGGTGCTGTTGACTTAACTTGTTCCTACACTCAGTCTCTCTGATGCTGAAGTTTCTCACTGTTACCATCCTGAGAAAATGTTGTTATTGTCTATGAGTCAGCCCTACTATTCAAAGAGTAAGATTTCTTTATCAACAGAGAAGTTGGTTTGGACCCTGTGAATTTTTTTGCTGCTCTAGGATTCTACAGTAATCACTGGCTTTGAAATGCTGGGAGTAAGGTAGGGGTTATGGTTTCATGGAAGCAGAACAAAGCACATGCACACTGATGTTCAAAAGATTCCCAACTCTATATTGTGAGACAGTAGGACCCATATTGACAATAATCTTTGGAGCACAACAACTGGCATGTGTCCTGATTTAGGCTGGGATAGAGTTCATTTTCTTCACAGTAGCTGGTACAGTGCTGTGGTTTTGATTTAGTATGAGAATAATATTGAGAACACACTGATGTTTTGGTTGTTGCTAAGTAATGCTTACCCTAAGTCAAGGATTTTTCATTTTCCCATGCTCTGCCAGTGAGGAGGTGCACAAAGTGGGAGGGAGCATAGCTGGGACATCTGACCCAAACTGGCCAAAGGGATATTCTATAGCATAGAATGTCACGCTCAGTATATAAACTGGGGGGAGTTGGCCGGGATGGGCTGATCACTGCTCAGGGACTGGCTGGGCATCAATCAGCAGTTGTATTTGATTTTGAAAAAAGAACTTGTTTTTCTTGAGTCTTAGTCATCTCTCACCCTCTCAATTTAATTGCTATTATTATTATTATTGTCAATATTATCATCATTGGTAGTAGTAAAATATTTTATTTTGTTTCAATTATTTTAGTGTTCTTATCCCATGGGTTTTACCTTTTTCTGATTCTCTTCCCCATCCCACCAGGGTGGGGTGGGGGAGGAATGAAAATGAGACTGTGGTACTTAGTATGCCAGCTGGGGTTAAACCATGGCAGCATGCAAGAAAGATTCTTCCTGAACTGTTGTGCTCACAGTGTATACTATTTTCTGGGAAGTTTTAAGGACATTCATTTTCACATGGGTGTTACAGAGCACCTACTAACCAGTGTTTTATTAAAAGGGCTGTGAATTATTTAACAAATGTGACTGAAACTCTTAGTAGCACCAGACAGATGAGAAAGCATGCCTGCATTTCACTTCCAATACACATATCTGGTTTTATGGCTAGTCTTTCTTGTTCATGTTGGCTGGTTATAACTGTAATAACCATCAATGTTTTAGTTAATTGCAACCCATTGGTGTCATTATAAGACTATCCTGACATAGTTTAAGTCAACTGGACAGTTCCCCATCACAGATTTACAATATGTTAGAGAAACTTTAATGTGATGAAAGTACTGTCAAAATCCAAACTTTAGTTGGTTTTAGTGGACCCAGTATATAATTGAATAGAGGTAATTTTTTGTTTATATTAGCAGAAGCTGTATTCTGGAAGACACTTTCATTCTGTACATAACAAGAGAAAAAAAATCTATTCTAAGAGTAGCTCTTCTTCTGTAGTTGGTGTATGACTGTTAGTCATGTTTGTGTATGTACAAATGAAAAAAGAGATTTGTGCAATGCAAAAGCTTAAAAATAAATTCTGCTTCTTGTTTTATCACGTTTTTCAGTGAGTATTGCATATGCAACGGGGGAAGGAAATGGTGCAACTTAAAATGGATCATGAGAGACATTGCCTTAGGGAACAAAGAAATGCACTTGTGAGACAAAAGACAAACTTTACTCCTATGTGGATGCTTTAAAGGACTCTTTTTTTTAGATGCTGACTATTCAATGACTACTTGTAATTGCAGAGATGCCCCTCCCCTTTTGCTCCTTTTACAGAATGTATACCAATATATGCTTTTGTAATTTTAGCTGTGATTGAATTAGAAATTGTTCCCTAGCTGCACTTTTGTCTCAGTGTGCAGAGATACTTCTCTATAATACTGGCATTTTCAAATATTGAGTAGCCTTTTTTAAAAAATCAAAACAACAGAACCCCTTTTTTAACACTATTGCTTTTTTTTTCAGGCAATAATTAATAGCACTATCACCCCCAACATGACATTTACAAAAACATCCCAGAAGTTTGGTCAATGGGCAGACAGTAGGGCAAATACAGTCTATGGCTTGGGATTTTCATCTGAACATCACCTTTCAAAAGTAAGTATGACTAATGACAACTATTTGGCCAATCAAATACTTTTGCTGCTTGTATCTTGACTCAGTGTTCACTACTGTTGTTATTTTAAAATAGTTTACAATAAATGTTCTGTATCCATCCTTATAATGTAAAAAGACAAGACTATTGTTATAACACTTTGTTGCCTATGAATTTTCTTTTAACTGATTGTGGAAAGTAGGGAGATTCAAGTTATCAGTATATGCTCTTTATTCTTTCTAGGTATTCACTTGTTAGGTTATTAAGTTTCTCTTCCTTAAAGTTGTTCTTCCATTACAGTTTTTCATTACAGAATTTAAGAGAGTAGACTATGTAGTGTTTCTTCCGTGTTTAGATCTCCTAGAAAACAACTGTTGATAGTCTGATGCATTTTTATCTTTTAAGTCACATTCTCTTTCACTTTTTTGCTGTGTAGTGCACCAAATTACAGATATTTCAACATGTGCAAGCTGAAAATAAAGCTAGTGGGAAAAATATTCAATGTGAAAGAAAACTACATTTTCTTGTTGGAATACAAAAGTTGATAGTTTTACTAAAGAAACTCAGTTCCCTACGAGTGTTTTTTGTGGTCTACTTGTGCAGGAGGGAAATCCACCTTAATCCAAGGAAAGCAGTAACTCCTTTTACCTAAACTGATGGTATGGTTCTTGTGAGCACCTCCTAGGTGCTCCTCATAGGACTTGTGCTCCAGACCCTTCATCAGCTTTGTTCCCCTTCTTTGGACACACTCCAGTGCCTCAGTATCCTTCCTAAACTGAGGGGCCTGGAATTGGACACAATACTCCAGGTGTGGCCTCACCAGTGACTAGTACAGGGGAAGAATCACTTCCCTAGTCCTGCTGGCCACACTGTTCCTGATATAGGCCAGGATGCCATTGGCCTTTTTTGATACTGAATTAGAGTTTCTGGATGGAATATTTTGTCTCCTTCTATATTCAGAAAACATATGCTTTAAAATAACCTGACAACCGAAATATAGGATACCAGTAAAGAGAAATTATACTTCCTCAAAAACTAATAGCCTACCAGGAGAAGTAGTTTAAAGACAATAAGGTAGAATAGGAAGTGAAGTCCTGATTGAAAATAGTTGAGGAGATTGAGTCACACAAAAGTAGCCATCATTCCTTTTGAATACATGCAGTGCAAAACAATTTCTTTGTATGCTGCTGCTGAAGAGATTTTTCTCTAGCCAGAGAATCTAGGCCCTATTGTTAATAAATTGATTTAATTTATCAATTTTAAGGGTGCATTTCCAAATTGTTGCTTTAGCTATTTTCTGGAAGAGGTACGTGTAGCAGAGAAATCAAGCTTCATATGGCAGTTCAATGTGAAATTCTTGTATTTAGTGTTTGGTATATATGAGTGTTTAGTTCAATGAATTTGTTCTTTAACTCGATTCATGTCAATGAACAATCAAGAAATGAACTTTACTCAATATTCCCACTGTTGCTTTCTTAATTAGCTACTAAAATTATAAATGTTGTTAAAATTTGGGAAGAAATTAGTGTTCTTTCAGTCATGAAAGAATGAAGCCCATTGAAGGCTCTAGGCTAATAGTGACCACAGTAGGCTTCAGAACCAGATCATTTGTTGTCACGAAAACAGTAAAACCTGAATCTGAAAGTAGCTGTGCAAGGCAGTTTATCACTTTTATATGCCATATATGAGGTGGTTTTTTTAACACTATTAGCAACAAATTAAATTTTTTTTGCATCACAATTTTCCTGTCATATAAACAGAGTACATTATGTCTAAAAGATATGCCACTGTGTAACTACCTTAAATAAGTATCTAATAAGGAGAAAAATTAAAAAATTCTACCAACAGAATTTGACTTTGTAAAATATTAAGTACAGCATTCTGTTCTGCGTGTAATTTAACTACTTAACACCTACTCTTTCACCATTTTTTTTTAAATGTGTACCTTCAGTTTGCAGAAAAATTTCAGGAATTCAAAGAAGCTGCACGACTAGCAAAGGAAAAATCCCAAGAAAAGATGGAGCTAACAAGTACACCCTCTCAAGTGAGTCTTATTGCCTGATTTAAGCCTAGTACTTCATAGTCTGTTCTACTTACTGTATCTTATACACATCTTGTATTAAAAATTAACAGAGTACTTCACAGTTTCCCTGAATCCTCTCAGCAGTCAGCAAGAAGTGTCAAGAAGTCTAAGAATGCATTTAATATACTTTGCTGAAGTGTCAAAGGGGCTTGCTTTAATATGAAATTGTCCTTTTGTTTACTCTCATCCCCTTCTTTGAGCTTTCCCCAGAAAATATGTTATGAGTAAAGATAGTGAGCAGTTATGTAAGTAAATCTAAAGACCCTTTGGGGTTTTTCTTATTGTATCTATGAAACTTCAGGCAATGCACTGATTATAACAAAAATTGAAGTTTTTTTACTTTTTGAAGCAATAGTGAACACAAAAATAATTCCTCCTCTTGGAGGATGAAGCAGCTTTAAAACCATAGCAGAGGTTCCTGAGCTGAGTAGGATTAATGCAACTGAGTCTTTTTTTTTCTGGTGAGTGCATCCTCATTCATTGAATAGTGCATCCCTTGAGTGCTTTGCACTGCAGTATGCTTGTGATCTTTGATGGAACAAGGATGGCAGTCAGTTTGCAACATGCTGTACGAATAGGTTTATTGCCACCAGAAAGCTGCTACTGTTGTCTTTCCAAGTCAGTGGAAACCACAACAATAATCAATGATCCAACCTCATGTTTTCCCAATAGGCATTTTGCCCCAGTGCTAGGTTGGCTTTTGCTATTAAAGGGAAAATGCTTGCTCTACTGTAACAGGAAAAAATAAGGCATTAATTTTTATTAGTTTTCTTGACTGTCTCTAAACTTCTCATAATTTCCATTAATAAATACATAAATAATGGAAGTATTATAACCTAGTTGTAAAGCCCCGGGTTCAAGCCATGGGCTACCTGGGTGTTTTACTTATATTTAAGACTCCCAAGAGTTTACCCACACAAACTTTTGCAGAGCCTTTGGTTCTTTGATACTTTGAATTCACATAAAGAGAACATGCAACATGCATTTCCCAAGGGACTTCTTTTAATTTAGTGAGAAAATAATCATTTTGGCAAAAGGTTTTACAAGAGTAACAAACAATTAAGGAGAAGCATTACGCTAAAGCACCCAGCAAACACCAACCCACATCATCATGGCTAGGCTTCGCGAACGAAGATTTGAGAAGGGCTCTACCCACGCTTGCTAAAAAGGCCAATGCGAGATAGACAAGTCCGGTTGCAGAAGGTACAGCAGAAAGACTCCCCAGGTGATATTGACAAGACGTGATTCTTTCTGCGTTGTCTTTTCTCCTCGAGAGTGATCCTGCGTGTGTTCTCAAAAGCAGTAGCAGTGTTATAGATGGTGTGTCTCCAGGCCTCCCGATTGGAGGCCAGGGCAGACCAATGGTGATGATCAATATGGTCAAGGCTGAGGGATTGTTTCAGGCAGTCCTTGTATCTCCTCTTTGGGGCTCCTCTCTTGTGGCAGCCGATGGTAAGTTCCCCATAGAGCACGATCTTAGGGAGGCGGTAGTCTTGCATCCTGGAGACGTGCCCTGCCCAACGCAGCTGTGTTCTCAGCAGCATGGCCTCGATGCTCGTGACTGCTGCCTGTTCAAGGACAGATGTGTTGGTCACATAGTCAGTCCAGTGGATGTTTAGGATTGTACGGAGGCAGCGCTGATGGAAGCATTCTAAGAGATGCAAGTGGTGGCGGTAAATGACCCATGATTCAGATCCATATAAAAGAGTAGACAGTACAATGGCTCTGTAAACCCTGATCTTAGTACTTTTCTTCAGGTGTTTGTTTTGCCACACTCTTTTATGGAGTTTACCAAAAGCTCTGTATGCCTTTGCTAACCTGTTGTCTATTTCTGCATCAATCTTACCATCTGAGAAGATGATGCTTCCCAGGTAACCAACCCACATAACCTAGTGAAATACCACCCATTGGTTTTAAGTTACCCACGAGAGGAAAAAAAGAGTAAAGGAAAAACAGAAATTAAGAGAGGAAAGGAGTAAAGAAAGAGAGGAGAAGAGCAAAAAATAGTTACTGCCAAGAGTTACAAAGCAGCAGGCCCTGCAAAAGAAAGGAAAGTGGAGCCCCTCTGCACCTATATTTATATGCCCTGGCCACTGTGGCCACCCCTCCCACGCGGGACCACCAGTTTATTGACCACTCAGTGCCCTCCTAGCCAGAGTGAGGAGTAAGTCAGCCAATCAGAGGCTCTAGGAGGTGTGGTGTGGGCAGGCTACAAGGTGGACTTTTTTTGATTTACAGGCTCTTGCCACATGGCTCTGGTGCCATGTACCTTTTGAGCTGCCATGTTGGCTGCAGACCATGTGTCTTCCAATACTAGAGGCCTGGCTCCCTCCCCTGACACATACACAGAAGTTGGTTGATTCGACCCAATTAATAAATAACCCAAATTCAGTCTCTCACATTAGTATACACTTGGGCTTTATAGATAGTGAAATGCTTCAGCCAGGCCTCTAGTTGTTGCTTATATTATAGGCACAACAACTACTCTGCTTCTCTTCTGACATGATGATTAATAATCTGCACTCAGAAGTTAAATCTGAAACTGTTGAATGGAGTGACTTATTTGGTTTGGACATAAATTTGAGCTACTCATTCAGATTCTTTAGTCTAGCAGTTGTCCAGGGTTAAAGCTTTTTCTTAATCCATATGAACTATTAATATTGTTTATTTTCCAGATTTCCCTTTTTATTTGGAGCCTAACATTTTATACTGTAGGCAACTATAGAAATGTTATCTTGAGCAATTGTATAATACACATTGAGAACTGCGATTTATTTACCACATGTTTAGGAATAATTTCATATTCAGGCCTTACTTTTCATCTCTTGGCTTTTAGCTGTGTTGATAAGTTAGGGTGTTATTTCAAAATACAGTTAGTGCAAGTCCTGACACATTGGCAGTCTTCACATAATGCTTCTCATTAGTTCTTCAGAAAGAATGGAGTTTGGAGCAGATGAGGAGTGATGACTTCATGACAGACTGCAGCGCTTCCATAGCGCTGGAGCTTATTTGAAGAAATTTATGTCTGAGGGAAAGACAGGTGCTCGGTAGTGGGGAGGGAAGGTAGGACCTCAGAGACATTTGAAGGAACAGTTGTTGTCATTTTGATTATCTGCCAAAAAGTGGCTGCAAGGCACATAATTCCAGTATTGCCTTTCTCAATCATTTTACAGCCCTTTTTTCCCTTTTGTATAGTGATCCTTTGCAGAGAAGGGAAGGAAAAGAGGAAGAAGAGATATTTTCAGTAGTCAGTCAAGACTTTATAGGAACTTTGCTTTTAAAGGAAGTTTTGACAGGAAAGGCATTGGGAGGTAGCGTGTGAGTAGTGAGCTCCATAGCAGTAGCTCAGCTACTGTTAATCCCTCTACTGTTAATCTCTCTGCTGTATTGGATTTGCAGATATCATTCTGCATTAAATTAATAGGTAGGAAGATACTGCATATAAAAACTGGAAAATATGCTTTTAAAACTTACATAAAATATGTTACATTTCTCATAGTACTGCTTAAAAAAATGCATTATTTTGTTCATGTCATAAACTCATGGATCTTACAGTGACAAGCCACCCGTGGTCTATTTTCAGTTACAGGCTTGCCTATGCACTGAAAGTGCAAAACCTGGATCTGGAGTTCCCTGAGTAGAGTGAATCAATAGGCTGAAAACTGTGTGTACCGGGTTTTTTTTTCCCCTTTATTGTTTAAACTAATTTTAATTAGGTTCAAGTACACAACCAAATAGGGTTTGCACCCTCACCCCATCAGTTTTACAACCAACCGAAGAACTGGAGTCTGAACCGCAGTTCTTGGGGTTTTTTTCCAAGCCAGAATCTTTCTTCAGGTATTTCTTGTGACCCCAGTCATTTCAGATTAAGAACGCTAGTAATTTCTGAAATTGTGTGGTGAGTAAAGTAAACAAAAATAATCTATTTCTTTCTTCTGTGATTCTGAGACCCTCCTATAATATTAGGAATAACTATTGCCTGAAAAATGTTAGTATCACAACATTTTAATATTTTAAATAAAAATTATTTACCAGGCATGGATAGTTGTGAGTGTGTGAGAGCACTGATTAACCTGTATTGGTGGAAGAAATATACAGTAGAATCTGATGCTTCTCTTGTATATGCAGATCATCCCCTTGTGAATTTGCAGAAAGCAAACATTTAGGTACTATATAGACTGATGTTTGTCTGCATTAATCTTTATCACTTGAATTTCATTCAAACTAGACATCTTTGAAAGTTCTTTACTGAAAAATAAACCTAGATGGAACTTACACATTTGTATTTCTTCTACTGAAATAGTTTTTATGCATTCATACTTTAAATATTTTAATAAAGCTCTGGCTTTATGTATCTAATAATAGTGTGGTAGGAATTTTAGGTTAAAGATACAAGCAAGTCAGATTTTGTGGGATGTGTTATATGTTTTTTAGAACATCTAGTGTAGTAAGAGGAGGACATAAAGAAATTCTTGGGTTCATAATGCCTTTCATTTAATGGCAGTGAAATCAGAGGATAATAATAGACAAACCCACATAATTTGTATAAAATAATTAATGTGCCTGATTATCTTGCCAGTTCTGCTCTCCTTTGACACTTTAATCTCAATTCAGTTTCAGTTCAGTAAAATTGTTGTCTAAAAGTATTTAATTTTGACATCTAAAGTATTAACACTTAAGGTAATAGTTTTGAGTATAAAATAAGTACTTTCTTCACAAAAGTGGGTAACAATTTACATTCCTAAAAAAAATAAATTACATTTATATTTTAAATAACACTTTATATTTGTGTAATAAATCACTGTAAGCTAATTATTTCCTGCTTTTTAATCAGTAGGAATTTAATAAGATGCAGAATGGAGACACTTGTGTATGTGCATTGTATAACTTGAGGAATGCTAAATATAATAGAACTTGAAGTCATTATTAAAATGTTTTACTATAACCCTGTATTACTCAATAATTCAAGTTGCAGAGTGAGATATATCTCTTGCTATGTGAGAAATACAATAGAATAAAAGCAAAATTTTGACAATTGTTGTGCTGCAAATGCTTAATATAATTTAAAGTGTAATGAAAATGTTGAACAATATTTTTGGTTGACACCAGTGTTTTGTAGAAGGTGATAATGACAGACAGATCCTATTTTCTTTAAAAGAATTGAGTTTTTCCATCTGGCCAAGTCAAGGGCAACATTTCTTAGAGATATAGGATCAAATTCAGTATTGGCTTTCAAAAAGCCTTATCCTTGTAAACTGGTTGAAGGCTACAAGTGGAGGCTTAAAATTAGACCCTGATCTTGTAAGATCATGACCATCTTCAGATACTTGCAGTTTCTTCTGAGATTGCTGTTCTTCGGTTTTCTGGCTTTCCAGAGACTGTGCTTGTGCTTCAGTTTAATCACAGTAAATAGCAGTCTTATCTCTTCTCTATGTAGATGGTAAAAGGCTGTGTGGTTATAGGAGTTGCTTAGCTTTTGGAAATATTGTCATTCAGCCAGTCCTCTGCTGGATGGTCATCCCTCCATGACATCCATTGAATTCTATTCATGAAACTTTACTATCTTAGAGTTAAACGTTACCACTTGATTATTAAAAGCCTACTAAGACATTTTGAAATTGAAATGAGCTACTTAACTTATATGACTCGCTTATCTCCTGCAAAAATCATTACTTGGAAAACTATATAATAGTAAAGAAAATATTAAAATTAAACCACATACAGGGACTGAAAAGCCTATAATGTTCTAACTTAGGATGTGGGCTACACAATGTACTTTGTTTTTTTTTAAAGGAAGCACTTTTCAGTGACTAGAAATTGAAAAATAGTGTTTGTTGGCCAAAAAATAAATGTATGTGTTGGCATAATGAGAGCTGATTAAAAGTGCACCAGTACCTTCTGCTAGGAAGAAAGTCAGTAAGTTTTTCAGGTGTAGCTGCCTGGGTATAACTGGAGTGTTCTTCCCAGATAATACCATGACCAGTGAGAGCTAGGCCAGGCTGACGTGTCTATGAAAGTTTTGCGAGGACTATGCTGAATAAGTTTTCTTTACAGATGGCTCATAGGTGAAACTGAATGCACCATCAATGTTCCTTGGTAATTCTAATGTGTCATTTGTTTGTTTTACTTAAGGAATCAGCTGGAGGGGACATTCAGTCTCTTTTAACGCCACAAAGTATTAATGGGACAGATGGCGAGACAGTGATGCCGGAAGTGAAACAGAACTCAGAACCAAGGGCTGAACCAACCCAGAACGCATTGCCATTTACCCATAGGTACAGATTCCATTCCCACATTCTCATTAAATGATACTTATCTCCTTCCTCATTAAAGGGACCTTTTCTCATGTCATGGCTTCCACCTAGCAAAGTTAAGGATTAAATTATTTGCATTATAATCTTTGTTTTCACAAAAAAAACCAAACCAAAACAAACATGAGGAAATCTCTTTGAATAACATTTTGGGGAACACTATTTTATAGTTTAATCCGCTGAATGCAAGCCCTTGAACACTGGTTAGTGCAGGTGTCCCTTTAACAGGAAGTATTATTTCAATGTTTGAGATCTTAGTAAAGTTATTTGCTTCTTAGAATATTCAAATTTAAATATTTTTGCACACATTTTCTTTAAATGAATGATAGGATTGGATGTCAGTCTTTCATCAATGAGTTGTTGGAAGAAAAGGGACTCTTACAACACTTATGGATTATAAAATTTAAAGCAGCCTTTAATTAAACAGTTCGCTCACAGTTGAAAACATTTTTCAACTTTTTGAAACATGAGAGAAGTATAATTCTGCTTTGAACTGAATTTTAATTCATTGCACTAGGAATACTGTACTCTTCTTTAAGAAAACTTTGTCTTTTAGTAATACAAATAATTAGTTAGGATGGATATATCTCACCTGTCAGAAATGACTGTACATGGGACACTCAATAAAACTCATTATGTACTGAGATCATGGAGAGTAACTTAAATATTTAATAAACTTAGAGCAAAGTTAGAAATACTAGATTTATTTTTTTAAACATGGTCTGAATCAGTTTAAATAGAGTTTAAGAGCTCTTGATCAAAGGTTAGGGAACACTAGGATGTCAGATATGTTATGCAGATAATTCAGAATGAGCAGAGATGGAATTGGAATTGTTCAAGACTTCTCTTTTCTTGTAAAAGAATAATACTATTAAACATTTACATTTTCAAATGAGAAAAACCAAACACTTTTTTAGCTGAGTGATTGTGTTTATTTTTACACTTCAGTTCTCAAGAGTTCTTCTATTGCATGTTTTACAAGAAATGGTGCTTTGTAAGAAAGCTCTGCGCATGTTGAAGTAGTATTACATGTTGCATATCAGTGTTCTGTGACGAGTTAATTTAAACTTACTGTTTTTGTGTTGGAATTCTCTATCAATATCTTTGTGAAAAGGAGCTGTGATAAAGTCCACACAGGAGTACTGGTGTTTGTTGGTTGTTTTTTTTTTTTTTTTTAATGTGACCTTCCCTCTCAGTTTCCATATGTAAATACATTTTCTGGTATGACAATATAGTAACTATGCTCTGCTATACATTGACCATGACTGAAGTCATTTTTTGAAACTAGCCAGTTGTAATTTTTGATGGTGTAGAAGTTAAAAAAATTTTATATGCTTTGCATTTTTTATATTTACTGCATGTATGCAGTGTGGTTGCCTGGTTTCAGTTTATTGTCCTGTTAAGTACCACTAGCTAGAATTGGTCTTCCAACAATAACTCCACATTTCAAAGGTCACTTCTCATGATGATTCTTATGAGAATCATTTATCATGCTGTGCTGGTTTCAGCTGGTGTAGAGTTAATTTTCTTCACAGTGGTTAGTATGGGGCTATGTTTTGCATTTGTGCTGAAGACAGGGTTGATAACATAGAGATGTTTTTGTTATTGCTGAGAAGGGCTTGCACAGAGCCAAGGTCCTTTCTGTTTTTCATACTGCCACACTGGCGAGGAAGTTGGGAGTGCATGGGAGGTTGGGAGGAGACACAGCTGGGACAGGTGACCCAAACTGACCAAAGGGATTTTGCAGACCATATGACATCATACTCAGTATATAAAGTGAAGAGGAGAAAGGGGATGGGGAAGACATTTGGAGTGATGACATTTGTGTTCCCAAGTAACCATTATGCATGATGGGGCCCTGCTCTCCTGGAAATTGCTGAACACCTGCCTGCCCATAGGAAGCAGTGAATTAATGCCTTGGTTTTCTTTGCTTCTGTGCGTGGCTTTTGCTTTCCCTACTAAACTGTCTTGATCTCAACCCATGAGTTTTCCAGCTTTTACCTTTTCAATTCTCTCCCCAATCCCCCTGGTGGGGGAGTGGGCGAGTGGTTGCATGGGCCTTGATTGCTGGCTGGGGTTAAACCTGTCTTGGTTTGAGACAATTTGGAGCGGCAGAGACCTCAGACAGAAGTCCTCTCCCTTGGCTTCAGTACCTCTGGTTTCTCCAATACAGGGAGAGAGACCAAATATGCCCAGATGTAAGTGAAAAAAAAACCTCTTTACCAAGAAGAATGCTAACAACAGTACTGATAAAACTGGGTTAAAGCAACCAATGAGGAGAAACTTCCCAAGCCCTGCCCATCAGACCAAATTGAGATGGCAGCTGACCTCCCTCACATGGAAAAAACCCACCCATGGCCACGTGGTTCACCTCCCCCACACCTGGAAAACCTGGCAGGAACAGTTGGAGAGTCAGCACTGGAATGAGGTTGCGTTGCTGGTACAGGCAGTTAGAGCAGAGCTGCAGACCCCCCAGGCTGCTAGAAGGACCCACAAGACACCCATTGGATCCAGCAATTTTGATGTTCATTCATTGAAGTGGTTGTAATCCTGTCAAGGTGGTGGTGAAAGCCCCCAGGTAAGGAAAGTCCTGTGTGCTAAGGGAAGAAAATCCAGTGTTAAGTGAAGTCTGAGTGGGGTCTTTTATTGGGTTTAGGGTAGGTGGGAATACCCTTAAGTACCTCCCCTGGGGCAGGGAGTTCTACACTGGATGATGTAATACTGGACCATGGGACATTTCAGGAGTCTTTGACACCTTCTAAGATGTTACAGCTGCCTGTTATGTCAGCACAGGTGGATCCATTATGGCTCATCAGAAGAGATGAATATCTTCAGTCTATGTGTGAATTGTCCTGATGCTCCCCTGGAGGGGAGTTATCACAGCTGAGTCATTTGTGTAAGGACAAAGAAACAACACTCAGCTTGTAGCCTGAGGTGGTTGGTGTGCATGCCCTCAGGACCTGGGTGGTTACTTTGCCTCACCTTGCACCTGGATTGTCTGAGTCATCAGCATTCCAGTCTTTCACATTTGTGGATACATTCTTCTCCCCTGAATAATAATACCACCCTTATCTTATCTCAATTTCCCATCACAGTCCAAATTGGTCAGCATATTTGGGGCTATTACCAAAGAAAATGCATATTTGTTCAAACTCTTTGAAATAAATTGAATTTTGGATTAGATAAGGGTTTTATTAGAAATAAAGACTCATATGGGTTAGTTTTGGGGTTTTTTAATACTGAAAAGCTCAAGTGAGGACATTTATATATCATTATTTAACCCAGACAGAAAATGCTTTCAGGTGCTTTCTGACAATTTTTTTCAATAGAAAGAAAAGAATCCTTTTGTGTGTGTGTGTGTGTCAAGGAACACTGTCTCAATCAGAAGGAAACTACCATATAAAGAAATGTATATTCCAAAAGATTCCAGTTATTTCCCAGCACCATTCTGTTTTTCAAAATGAGGACAGAATTTAATTTGGAAATCAGCTGCTTTGATTGGATATAATTGTTAGCTGTAATGAAAGCTCTCTAAAATGGCACTATGTAACACATGCATGAAAGAGATGGAAAGTGAACCCTCCAGGATTGTGCTAGTGCTGGTTAAGTGGGCATGTTTTTAGAGACCATTCATAATATTAAATTGTCAAGAAGGTAGATATACTTAGTTGCTTGTGCTGGCTGGAAGGGTGCTCTCTGTAGAAAGCCTGCCCCTGATTAAAAAAAAAAAAAAAAGCCAAGCCAAAAAGCCAAACCCCTAAAATTTTTCACCCTGATCATTGGAAACTCCTTGGGCTTTTCATGTGTCAGGGATACAGAAAGGGATTGTGCTCTCCTTGTTCCCTGTCATTTTGATACTGCTGTGTGTTGATGACACTCCATGTGTTAAATTGCTGCACTGAACTGGCTGCCTTGGTAACTCCTGCCTATTGCTGAGTCTCTTCTGTGCCCTATGTTTCAGCAAAAATAAAGTTTAACTGGTGCTTCTGTGTGAGAAGAATAATGCTGGAAGGGCATTTGTTGTCTTGTGGATGGTAATGCTTTTAATATATATTTGCCCTTACTTTTGGATCTGTTTATCAATAACTATGTACTTTTCAAAAGAAAGGATCATAGAATCATAGAATCACTAAGGTTGAAAAAGACCTCTAAGATCATTGAGTCCAACCATTAAACTAGCACCACCATGTTCAGCACAAAACCGTATCTCCAAGTGCCACACCCACATGCCTTTTGAACACTTCCATGGATGGTGATTTCACCACTTCCCTGGGCAGCCTGTTGCAATACCTGACCACCCTTTCAGTGAAGAATTTTTTCCTAATATCTAAAAACAGCATAATACAGTTCAAACTGTAACATTTTCATAAGATATCTCTAGTAATGGAAGGAGAGGTGAAGAAGACTCATATTTGCTATTAGGAGAATGGTCAAGGTGCACATGTTGCTTATCTTCTTAAAATGAAGCAACTTTGCAATTAACAGAACTAATTTTAATGGCTGGGAGAATGGATGAGAACCAAAACTAAAAATAGCCCAACACTTGAGAAAGTAATATCACCACCTTCCATGTGCATCTAAGGAAGTTATAGTTTGGAGCATGAGAATTGTCTACTTCCTGCTGTTTGTTTAGCAAGAACTCCAAGGGGTGATTCAGACAATGTGAACTGGGTGCTTGAAATTAGATTATATAAATACCATACTTAGGGAAAAGTGAGCACTCTTGTACACCTGTATTGGGTTTCTGTTGCCAGGTTTTGATAGTGGGAGGGCTATAGGGGTGGCTTCTGTTAGAAACTGCTAGAAGCTTCCCCCCCATGTCCTGCAGAGCCAATGCCAGCTAGCTCCAGGATGGACCTGCCACTGGCCAAGGCCAAGCCAATCAGGAGTGATAGTAATGCCTCTGTGATAACATGCTTAAGAAGGGAAAAAAAGTTGTTGGGCAGATGTAAATTGCAGCCAGA